TGTCAACTAATTCTCTTAACATACCTGTAAGCGACCCTACATTCCAACTAACTAAACGGATCCTAGTTGATTCGACTAGCTTCCTTACCCTTCGCACCCGTCGACTCAGATGTGAAGACCCTTGCTCATTTTTCACTACACCCGGGCGCCGATGTAGCGCGCCAAATATAAGGAAAAAAAAGCAAGTGATATAGTATATATGAAACGACTTCTTTTTTTCGACACCAGATAGTACATACATATGGATTCCATAATTATCAGCACTTGTACAAATTTTGTCATTCTACCTCCCTTCTCTAGAGCATGATTATTTGGACAAATCAAATATATGGGGCAAAAAAACAAGTGATATAGTATGTCTGAAACGATTTATTTCTTCTGACAGCGGGTAGCACGTACATATGGATTCCATAATTATCAGCACTTTGTATTGTATTATGTAATAATTTTCTACTACTCATATTAACCGGGCTCTGTTCACCATTTCTAATATATTATTGTGTTCATCTCTCTTGCAGTGGGAAGTCACCATGTCTTCACCGATGCAATCTTCATACCTCCCTGCTACCACTGGGTCCATAGCAAAAGCTCAGGAGGCCAAGGACGCTTTGGAGTCCATCTCAATCCTCTACCATGTGCTTGAGGATCCCTCTTCATCAGCGGATGCACTGAGAGTAAAAGAGCTTGCCATTACGAATCTCACAAACTACCTCACAAAAGAGAACAGAGCTGAGGATCTCAGGAACCTTTTGACCCAGCTCAGGCCCTTTTTTGCATTGATCCCTAAGGCAAAGACCGCGAAGATTGTGCGTGGCATCATTGATGCCGTTGCCAAGATACCTGGAACATCTGAGCTTCAGATCTCACTGTGCAAGGAGATGGTAGAATGGACCCGTGCGGAGAAGCGAACCTTCCTCAGGCAGCGTGTGGAAGCAAGGCTGGCAGCCCTTCTGTTAGAGAATCAGGAGTATACTGAGGCCCTCACACTCCTCTCTGGACTCATCAAGGAAGTCAGGAGGCTGGATGACAAGTTGCTTCTTGTGGACATTGACCTCCTAGAGAGCAAGCTCCATTTCTCTCTGAGAAACCTTCCAAAAGCCAAAGCTTCTCTGACCGCTGCAAGAACTGCAGCCAATGCCATTTACGTGCCACCATCTCAGCAGGGCACTATTGATCTGCAGAGCGGAATCCTTCATGCTGAAGAGAAGGATTACAAGACTGCTTACAGCTACTTCTTCGAAGCATTTGAAGCTTTTAGTTCACTGGAAGATCCCAAGGCCATCTTCAGCTTGAAGTACATGCTTCTGTGCAAGATAATGGTCAACCAAGCTGATGATGTTGCAGGAATCATCTCATCAAAGGCTGGCCTGAAGTATCTGGGTCCTGATGTTGATGCTATGAAATCTGTGGCCGATGCCTATTCCAAAAGGTCTCTGAAGTACTTTGAAACTGCTCTCCGTGATTACAAAGCTCAGCTGGAAGAAGATCCTATTGTCCACAGGCACCTTTCTTCACTGTATGATACTCTCTTGGAGCAGAACCTCTGCAGGTTGATTGAGCCCTACTCAAGGGTGGAGATTGCCCACATTGCAGAGATGATTGAGCTGCCAATCAACCATGTTGAGAAGAAGCTGTCCCAGATGATCCTTGACAAGAAATTCGCAGGGACACTAGATCAAGGCGCTGGCTGGCTCATCATCTTCGAGGACAGCAAGACTGAGGAGATCTTCCCTGCCACGCTTGAAACGATCACGAATGTCGGGAAGGTTGTGGACAGCCTGTACATGAGATCGGCCAAGATCATGGCCTGAGATGCAGTGGATGGCCTAGGTGTTGTTAACTTCTTTTCACGGTCTACTGTCAGTTCAGTTGACCATACTTTAGCTCTCCAAGTGTCGTCTTATTCTGCAATTTTTTTTCTTCTTTTTCTTTTTCGGGTGGCGGACTGTTTGGGTTACAATTAGCCATATTGCTCATGGATACTCTTGTTTCGGGATGATGGAAGTACTGTTTAACACTATTTCCTTTTTCCTACTTTATGTTATTTCCACTGGCGTGAAAATCCAGGTTAGCTACCTCTGCACCTGTTGTGAACAGGTGACATGTTAGCCATTTGTTAGATGTCGTATAATCACTGTTTGTCTAAATGGTAGTTTATTCTGTTTACACACCGTTTAAATGTTATACGATAGTACACCGTTTTTGTTTAACTGGCCGTATGAATTTTTGTATGGCTGTTTCTTGCATATGTCGAAGCGACGAAACGAATGCCTCTTTCTTGCATAGTTGCATTTGTCAAAGGGGCGAAACGTATGCGGAAGAAAGCAGCTGACGTAACAATTCATGCAAGGATATGGGGTAGTATTTGGCATCAAATTCCATACTTTATGTAAAAATGAACTGTCGGGGACCAAATATTGGATATCCAAAGATGTGGTACTAATAACCATCAAACGCTGATGCTTCCGAACAGACGAGAGCGCAACTACACTTCTTGCCCATACGACCGAAGGTTGGCTGCGCCTCGCCCGACCCCTAAGGGTTGGCTCCGCCTCGCTCGACCCCCGAGGGCTGGACTCCGCCTCGTCCGACGTCTGGGGCCAAACTTCGCCTCGCCCGACGTCTGCACCCTGCTCCTTCATAATGACGAGCACAGGGTAAGACAGGACACTCAGGTCAACCGCAGTACCGAGGACTATATCCTGCACACCTGCGGTAAAGTACCGTCAGGATATGACAGGACGGGCGCTTTAAGCCCTTTCAGGCATGACAGAGCCCGAACAGTGTTGTAGGCGCCGACTTTTGTCTTGCAGTGTTGTGAGCGCCGCCATCAGCCATCAGATGCGGATCCTGAGATAAGCATACGACAACCACTACAATCCAGAAGGGAACTCACATCATCTACAGTACGGACGTATGGTCACTTCCCCGTCTGCTCCCCGTAGGGTCACGGCTCGACACCGTGGCACGCCGCACCATCCGTCGGAGTGGATGGGACGTGACCACTTGCTGAACGAAGCCAGAGCACGGCCCTATCAGGGTCAGCGAACATGCTATCCCTGGCGCCGTCTGCCATATCAGCAGGACAGGCTCAAGGGAAAAGTAAGATCCGGCACCTTCGAAAGACCTTCTCTAACTCTGGTTTTTTCTCTTTCTCCCATCTGTAATCCCTGCTCCCCCTTGGTCTATAAAAGGGAGGGCAGGACACCCCACTAAGGGGACGGATCAATTCGACACACCACGCACCATATTACACACAGCTGAGCAGCAACTGAGCTCTCAGTACTCGTTCGACCTTTTTATCAGAGACTTAGGACCTGTTCCTCTCTCGACCGTTTGTACCCCTACTACGAACCTTTCAGTGCTAATAACACGAGCAGCAGCAAACTGGACGTAGGGACATTCAGCTCGAACCAGTATAAACCTTGTGTCTTTTAGCACACCATCCGGGCCCAACGCGCATCAAATATAAATTTACTAGTCGGTGTTTACTTGAAACACCGACATGAACTTCTGTTTGGTAAATCAAATGTCCTCATTGTTGTGTGCTGACGAAAGAGGAGTAATAAGATCTTTTTTTTTTCAGGAGATTCAGGTTTGTCAAACAAAAGTTACATATGATTTAACACAGCCCACAGGAAAGTAGCAGTAACATAAATAATAAGATCTTCATTTCAGTAGATGCAGGTTTACCAAACAGAACTTACATATGATTGACAGTTGTCAGGGAAGTAGCAGTAACATAGGCACTTATTAAAGATAACATCTCCAGAGCAACTGTCATACAAACTCTTTTAACTCTAAATAATGGTAGTTACTAAGCTTCATTAACTCAGCCGCAAGTAGTTTTCCTCACTCAGTAGTAGAACTCTATCATTGTTGCTACTTCCTGACCCTTCACCAGTTGTACCTCCAAGTTGGATAGCTAACCCAGAAATACACTGTTATTATTTACAAACATAGGTGCAGAACATCTCATTTGCAAGAGAACACGCAACATTATATTGGTTCGCTGGTTAAGGAATCTCAGGGATATAGCTCATGGTACTGCTAGGAGCAGCTCATCAGGAGTAGAGCACAGCTCTATGCTACAGGTAAGTGCTGCTCGTTGAAGCCTTGGTTTAGAGTTCTTTGTATGGCCCTGATAGTGTTTGGAGTTGTCCTGCAGCAGCCCCCAATAGGCGAAGCCCCATCTTTGCACCATTCATTTACATAAGAAACAAAATCACCATCTGATACACCAGTGGATTCCTGCACAGAATATGAAGCTTCCAGAGCTTAGACCATCTCAGGCTTATCGTCACATACTATATTTAATTTCGAAATTCTAAAGGACGGCTTGTATTTAACAAGGAAAAGTGCTGAAGAGGATAATATAAAAATGCACATTTTCTTATAGGAATCCTGCACCCAAACCGCAGGCATCCGATAGTGCCATGTCACCCGCTAACCCGCTAGCCGTTGGATCAAGCGATCAGGTGATCTAGTCCGTTCGATTGTGGGTCGGTTCGGGCGTCGACCCGTAAAGTAGCGAATATTCCCGAGGGTTGCCGGTCGTGTAGAGGAGAGAGCCGCCCGAGGCCGCGCGGCGCAACCGCGCTCGACCTGGCCACCCTACGCCGCCCCCCGCACCTCCCTCCTCCTGGCGCGGGCGGGGCCAGCGGCCCCAGCGCGGGCGGGATGCGGGCTCTGCGAGCGTGGGGTTCCTGGCCATCCCGGTGCCGGTGGGGGCCCAGCGGCACCGGCGACCCCGGCGCAGGCGTGGCGCGGGCGCGGCGGCCTTGACCGCTCGGGTCCCGGCCATCCCAGCGCGGGCGGGGGCCCTAGCTGCCCTTGCGACTTGGTCGCGGCCGCCGGTGCGGGCGTGGCTGCTGCGGCCACCCCGGAGCGGGCGGCGGGCGCAGGCACGGCGGCTGCGGCCACCCCGGCGCGGGCGTGGGGCTCGAGAGCTACAGTCCGGCCAATCTGGTAAGCCGCCACACACTCGGAGGGGAGTGAGGATGCCTCGGCCGGAGTTCCAGGCGTCGCCGGATGTGCTCTACAACGAGTCGGAGGTCCCCAAGTACACCACCTCCTCCCGTATCAACGAAATCCAGGTGAGCGAAGTGCCCCCCCCCCGTTTGATTTGAGCTTTGCCGATTTCGCAGCGCTGGCGCGAAGTGACATGCCTTCTTTCAGTCTAGGATTTCCGAGAGGGCGCTGGAGCTGCACGCTCTTCCCAACGATGGCGTCCCCAAGCTGCTTCTCGACATAGGTCAGCTTACTCTCTTCTGCAGCTCTGCTTCATGAATCATGGCATATCGCGTTGACTAGAACAACAGAGTATTCTCCTTTGACGGGGGCAAAAAATCATGATGTGGGAGCTCTTTATTACAATCGGTTATGGCAATTGAAAGACATCTATGTTTGAAGATACGCTTACCTACAATGACTTTGTGTGCTGTAATTTATAGGATGTGGTTCTGGGCTTAGTGGTGAGACATTTGCCCCGTTCACGTGTCCTTAAACCCGGTTTGATCCGCTTATTTTTTCATCCGAAATAGTGTTTTTCTCTCACAAATTTCTCTAGCATTCCTCCAAACCATCCAGATTCCTCCAGAATTCAGCCAAACGAACAGGCCCATTGATGGAGCATAGCCCCCACTGGATTGGCTATAATATTTCAAAGTCGATGCTCGGTGAGGACCTCTCTATGTTCCTTTCTCTTGGCTTGTTTAGCACCAATTAGAAAAGAAGTGGGAGTTTAGAGGAGGGGAGCTTTTTAGATATCTTGCTCTGGTACGTGCATCCTTTTTTAGAATTTCACTTTTTTGCACAGGTGTTGCCTTGCTCATGTAAGAGTCCGCGTCACGGCGTGCAATGTAAGTGGTTGCAATGTAATTGCATCTCCGTTGTGCCCATATGCGAGCTCCTACGCCGCGAGCACCGGCCAGCTCCTCAGCGGTCAGAGTGGGGTCCAACTCCTCAGCGGCCAGAGTGGTGTCCATGGACGATTCCCAGCTGCTGCTCGAGGAAATTCCTCCAAGGTAGGTGTGCATTGAGCCACTGAATAATCAGCGTTTCTGATAGTATTTGATCAGCAATCCATGAGCTTAAATATGAACATTCTGTTGTCCTTCTATCATACAGGATTGCAGCGACGAGATAATAATCAGAATGCATGGATAAGTGCTAATATTTAATGAAATAGTTGTATCCCATGTGTACTAACTATACATGTACATATATGGTAATTTAAAATTCATATTACTGGTAGAAGTTCGAAGATATGCAGTGTCTTACTTCATTTCATAAAACTGGAATGTCTTGTCTTTGTCGCCTGCCCTAATTAAAAAAATTATAGAATGGCACTTTTCAGATATTAGAGCATGGCATTTCAATATTTTTAGCAAAACCATCCAACTACTTCATTCAGGATTCTTACACATCACAGATTAGTAGTGCTACTTTTGTTCTTCCGATGTGTGATGACTTGCAGGTATCTACAACGAAATTATTTAAGTGGGCACGTCCTTTTTAGAATTTAGCGATTTGGTACAAGCGGTTCAGTTACAACAGGAATTGGCAGCCGCTCACAATCAGGTATACTGCTGCGACAAGACAGTAGTTGTTTCAATCTCAATGCGCATGGTTCTTTTTTTATATGTCAAATTCAATTCTTTTTTATATGCCATTCATCCCTTGATCCGACGACCAAGGATGGCGCATTTGACTTGCCGGCCGACCTAGGGCAACCCGACGACGTCCTTGCTCTGATGGGGTCCCTCCTGGGCGAGAGCTTCGACGGTTTCTTTGCTAGTTTACCTGAAAACTAGCCGGTCTTTGTCACGCAAGCACGTTGGTTATCCTTCGGTAGTGGTTTGCTTGTAAACCTCTCCGTTCTTCACCACGAAAGAGTGATATCCTCGCTGCGTTTTTCGGTCCGTAGCGGCCCAGGAGTCTAATGCCCTTGCTGGTGTGTGATTTGGACCACATCCAACGTCAACATGATTAATTAAGCTTAATAGATTCGTCTCGCTAATTAGTCTACTCCTGTCCAATTAATTTTATAAATAGATTATGTTTAGTCCTTTTAGTTAATATCAAATATCCGATGTGATCCAGAGAGTGTGAAGATGAGAGAACGAGTTGTCCTGTTAGGGGTCTCGGTTACATGTTATATAAGATGGGAATTGCCCCCACCGTGGCATGTACATCAAGTTGAATGCAGTTACAACAGATTGAAGATCATATCTATCCTATCAACTAACTTGAGCTACAAGCTAGGAGACGTACAACAGAAAATATCTAGAGCTATCACGTGTACCATGTACAACACACAATACCGTGAGTACAAGATCCTTATCATTTTACAGAGAGATCACCTTGTCAGCAGCTAACAAACGATAGCGAAGACGCGAGAGCCGCATGCATGATACGTACGCGGCAGCGAGCCGAGCGGCGATGCAGGTTCAGTGCATCTTCCCACAAAACTGGCAGCGGTCGTGCACCTAACCCACATACAGTACTCCGTAGCTCACTCCGCCCGGCCGGTTTTCACTTTCACTTTCACCGCAGGCTCCAAAGTCCCCAAGCAGGGCAGGCGGCTGGAAACGGATGGCACTGCCGCAGCCATGATCGAACATGATGCCAGTAGGTAGTGACAGTGAGTGAGAGAGTGAGAGCACACACGAGTGGAAAATATCTATGGCAAGTTGAACACACACGTGTTGCCTTTTTTCTTTTTCTTTTTGGATAAGGAACAAGTACTAGTAGAACTGTACCTGTACGGAGTACAAGTTAGTGCACTGGTGGTGGGAACCTTTTTTGATGGATTAGCATCAGGTTGGCAACTTGGCATGCATACATGCCCTCTACATGCACACCCATGTTTAGTAGGTTAGGTTGACCCAGAATCAACGATCTTTCTCTCTGACGGAACCTAATCACCTACTAATCTAATATATCTGGTGTAGCATCGTGATTATCGCCTCTGATGACGACGACGAACAAGGGCGAGAGGGCGAGAGAAGTTATTACAGTAAGAAAGAGATAAGATGTGCACAGCGACTAGTTAGCAAGAAATCGAACTGAGCATCGGCAAATTTACTACTCCCTCGGTCCCTCCGATCCGTCCAAAGACTACTACTATAGTTTTATATTGGCATGTTTGATCCTCGAGACTAAACTTTAGTCCCTGTCACATCGAATATTTAGTTGATAATTAGGAGGACTAAAATTAAGCTAATTATAAAACTATTTGCATAAGTTCTCAAGACGAATCTATTAAGCCTAATTACTTCATGATTAGCCCATGTGATGATACAGTAAACATGTGCTAATCAATGCTTAATTAGGCTTAATTCGTCTTGCGAATTAGCCACAACTTATGTAATTAGTTTTATAATTAGCTCATGTTTAGTCCTCGTATAATTGAAATCTAAACATTTGATGTGATAGGGACTAAAATTTAGTCCTGGGATCCCTACTAAAGTTCAGTCATTTTTTTAGTTTTGGCTGAATTTATAGATTTTTTTAATATTTATATCTTCAAATACCTTTTCCATAAGAATATATTTCATAATTAATTTAATAGTACTTGTTTGGTATATTATTATTTATTTATTTTTATATACATTTGAATAATTTTTTTTGGGTGGGGAGGCATGGTAGGAAATGTACTTCTGGCGAAAATAAATTAAGCCGGATCAGTCTTTGTTAATTCACATGCTCTAGTAGAAAATTAGAGCATAATTAAAGATGAGCATCCGTCGCTGATTACTACAGTGACACAATATTTGTTATCGCCCCTGTCGTTATTGGCGGTCCAAATGATCCCGATCTACTTTTGTCTAGAAAATCAAAACAAATCACAAGGTGCAGCATCTGGCGCTGCTTAGCTTACAGTACAATCATAAAAAAACATCATCACCTTGTCGTTTCTGTCGGACCAAATGACCCCGATCGATCTTCTTTCTGCTGCCTGCGATGAGGCGCCGCTAGATATTTGTCACTTTTTTTTTTTTGACTGCTGGGGGAAGCTTTCCTGGCACAGCTCCTACCCCGGCACTCGACCCCCTGTTGGCCTGTCTAACCGGCCTCGCTGCGGATACTCACCCCCGTCGCGAGGGTTTCTGCTCGTCATGTTCAACCCGTGTGTGCAGGTGTCGCGCGTGAAGGCCCGCCTCGCCGAGGGATCGCAGCAAGCAAAGCATTGATCGATGGAGGACGGCGGACCCTTGATTGGAACGCGCGAAGGTTCGATGCCTGCCGAGAGAGGCAACCGTCCATGTGGCGGCAGCCCCACTAAGGCAGTCAGAACTCGGAGTGGTTGGCCAAGGGAAGGAGATTACCGCCGTACCCTTGACCGTTATACAGCTAGTGCCCCTCCAAGTGTAACTCTAGCGTAATTTCACCTTGACCCCGGGTATGGTCTATAAATACCGGGGCGCTCGTGTAAGAAAGTGAGATCCATTTTTCCAGACGACTTAATGGGCATTTAATCCTCTCTCGTGCTTTGTCCTAAGATCAGTTACCCTCGTTCCTTACCTCTCGGTCGCACTCGTTCATACTTCTCCTTGTGGAAAACCCTCGGCCTCTCCCCGCGCGATCCTTAGCGAGGGTGAGAGGTCAGGAGTGACCCCACATGGACGATCAGAGTAATGCCATGTTCATAGAGAGAAAGCTGGTATTATATCAAAGTGACAATCATCATCTATGAATTAAGCTGCAGTACATTGGAGCACTGTCTTGAATGAGTGCTAGCGCAGAGTACCGAAATACAAAATACACTAGGCACCAATATTGAGAAAGAAAAAAAAAACAATGCGTCGGACCTCACGAGCACTATACATCACGGACTAAGGTGTGGGAGGGTGGAAACAACCTCTTTTTAAAAAAGGAAAAATTCACCAAATTCATATTATTAGATTAGATGCTAGTATAACTTATTCGCTTACTGTTGTAAAAAGAAACTTATTCGCTTACTGTGCCTTGCCGGCGTCAAATACTAAAGCTGCCCTTAGTACAGAATGCTTTAGAGTGTGCAGCAATTTAAAGGGCATATTTGGACGAGCAGAGCTAGTTCGTTACTAGTTGTTAAAAATTAGTTCAAATTAGCTAAGGTTAACTTAGCTAGTTGGATAACTAGTTAGAGACTTGACTATAAAGAATTAACCCACCTACATTAGCCTTAATGTTTGGATGCTCTAGACCCTTCTCATGCGTATCTTCTATTTACCAATGCTTCCTATTTATTAGGACAAGTTTAGGGCGCGTTTGTTTCCTGGCTTAGAGGCCCAGCCAGGCCAACGAGTTGCAACTGCCCTTGTTTGTTTGCTTGAGCGGCTAGTTGGGCCTGGGCAGGACGGTGCTTGAAGCACTCCGCGCCCTGGCTCCCAAGAAATGAAATGGGGGTTCGTTTCTTTTGGGCCCGACTCACGGCGAGAAGAGGAGCGACACTGCCATCACCTTCATCCTCACCCCCAAGTCCCCGACACCAAGAGCGGCCGCTGCCTAGAGACCCTCGTACGATCGCTCCTACACCAGCTCTACCACTCGCTCCGGCTCCCCTTCCCACCGAGGGAGAGGCAGAGGGAAGCGCGGGAGCTGTGGTTACGACCCAAGACAAAACCCAAGCCGATGGCGAAGGACATGGCCGGGGCGTTGCTCATTCCGTCATCAGCGTCGGCGCCGCCCGTGAGCTCGGCGTTCCTTATGGTGGCGGAGATGCCCGAGGGCCACTTGTCACGATGAATCGTGGAGCTCATCTTTGCGTCCGGGTGGGGAGGCGGAGGGCAGAGCCGTCGGTGTAGGCGATGTTACATGTCCACAGCACGTCACGCGTGCGGTGGTGCGGTTCGAGGAGGCGAGGGCGACAGTCCACGCACACGGTGCCGCGGCGGGGTGTTTGGTGCTGGCGTTGCCACCTGCTGCTTCGTCACGTTGGTCTCCGTTGTGTGCATGTTCGCCAACAATGGAGCCGCGCACGCCAGCGGCGCCACCACCGGGTGACGGGCGATGCTGGTGTGCCGCATCATCACCGGGCATGTCTGCCCTGCTAAGTACCCGTCCCCTAGCCACGATGACGCCCATAGCTCCGATCCGTCGCGACCGCCTATAACTCTGTTGACATGGGCAACGGCGAGTGGGTGGTCCTTGTTTTCCGATGCCAACGATGGAATGCCAATAAAGGATAGATGGGTGGTAACATCACCATATTCTAGATACAGGATAACCGTATCTGTTTGTACAAGCTATCAATCACTGTCTCAACAGAGGCTCTGCTACAACATGGGAACTCAACATGTGAAGTTGCACCATCTCGGCCATGCCAAGTTAAGCCTATCTCTACTCGACGCTACGAGCCACCAATAAACAGCGTAGCTTTGCCCAGCCTCGCCTCGCTTTACGGGCATGAAGAAGAAAAGCCTGCCTAAGTACGTGAGGTCGTGATCTATTTTGGCTCTCACAGAAACAAAAAGAATCCCTTTCAAAAAAGAGGAACCTTGCCAGCTGCATAGCACAGTGCCGAATAAAGAAACCAAGCACGTCACTCCTCTAACTTGTACGGGACCTTGCTTGACACCACGGCAGCTGCCATCGATTTGGCGACAGTGACAAGCAGCGACGACGCGTCGACGACACGAGAGCACGGTCGCTTGGTAGTAGAAAGAAGCATAGAGCCTTTGGCAGCTTATTTAAGCATAGAGCACGATCTCTTTCCATTGATGCAATCTGCAATGGGCTTGTTCGCTGGTTGGTGCTGATGCTGGTTTGGGCTGGCTGATGCTGGTTTTTTGTGAGAAGAAAACACTGTTGGCTGGCTGGTTTAGGCTGGCTGAAACCAACAAGCGAACAGGCTGAATATCAGTCCATGCAGAGTATGTATGTATGCAGCCAGCAGCAAACCCCATCGTACACGAGCGTACATTTATCTCTATGAGCACTCCGAGGAACTAAGTTGGCCCGGTAAATTTTGAGATTGACGAAGTGACCACATGCGTCTCGCTGTCGACGAGCACATCATCTACCATTGAAAGAATAACGATGTTAAATTCTAGAATAATTCTAGAAAAATACAAACACCCGTGTCAAGTCGAAAACTTAAAACTCGGATAGACATGTTCCCAACCCAACTGGCTGAGCCTATACGCTCCGTTGGTAAGGATATGTCTTTGTTAATTGACGTGAATTAATAAATTAGACAAAACAAAGGAGTACAGGCACTTGCAGCCTGTTCGCTTGCTCGTAAACGATCGTAAATTTCCAGCCAGAAACAGTGTTTTTCTCTCACACCAAACCAGCCAGCAGTAAATAATCCACGATACGATACGGCCTCCCAAACAGGCTGTTGCTCGCTCGCTTTGGAACCAAGGAATGAAGCGACGGCTGAAGCATCACACACCTTTTTTGTTCATTAGAATAGAGGAAGTTGAGTCATATACTCGTATCCGATCCGATCCAAGCCGACCGCACTGTAGCATACTCCCCTCCTCCTCTTAGATAGCAGCCGGAGAAGCCAAAATTTTTGGCTCCGGCAGCTCCTTCGTGTCAGTGAGAGAGAAAAAAGAGAGAAAACGGATTCCATGAACAGTAGATTAACATTGTGGGCCCAAACACTTGGGGTTGGGCTTTGTCTTCCGAATGGGCCTCCCATCGCGCCGAGGAACCGAAGCCTGATCCACAGCATCCTGCGCCTCTTTTCTTGCCTCCTCCTCCTCCTCCTCCTCCTCTTCTTCTTCAGCAGCAGCAGCAGCAGCAACATCAGTTGCAGGAGCACTGACAAAGGGATGACAGTATATATAAGCAAGAAGAGCTGCGTGCAGTAACTAAAGCTGATTAGAGAGGTTTATTCCAGCTGCTACGTAACACTAACATCACGCTAGGGTATTCTTAGGTACCATGTTTTTTTTTCTAACACAATGAACAAAGATGTATAGTTCAAAGAGTGCTCTTAGTTCTTACTGTTTTCGAGAGAAATGTTCTATGAATTTCCTGCGTGCATCCCTGCTGGATCCGCCGCTGCTCCAACACCAATTGCCAGGTTCCAACGTTGTTTCACTTGTTCGTCTGTAAACTCTTGTGATCCACACCTTGGTCCCACTGATCTCACAAACTGCATCCGGAACTGGCATGCTACCAGTGACCTCCTCATTCCCCTCTGATCTTTTCACACCGCTGTCACTAACTGCATCCGGAATTGGCGTGCTACCGATGACCTCCTCAGTCCCCTTCAATCTATCTGGCGATGCAGTCACAATCGGTTTGCCTTCATTCTCAGCTTTTAAGTTGCCAGAATCTACTTTTACTGTACCTTTATTGTCTTTGACGACACTATCTGAGCATGAGGCTGCTTCTGATACAACACAACCTGCGTTTTTCTCGTTGCATTTGTTGCTGCTGCTGGTAGGCCCATTTTGCAACATCAGCGATGTCTTCCAAACTCTTAACAGGGTATCCAGACTCCATATTTGCTTCTTCTGATGCCAAGACCTTGATACATTTGTTAGTCTTACCAGTGTCTCCAAACTCCCCACTTGCTTCATCTGATTCTGCAACACTGATGCCTTTTATACTCTTAGCAGCGTCACCAACCTCTACGACCATTTTTGAGTTGTCTGCTTCCAATTTCCTGTCCTTTATGCTGTCACAGCCCACAATGCATATGCTTTTGATATAGCATCATGCAGCCTGGCACTTTCGAATTCTTCTAGCAGTAGCTCTCTTATTCTCTGCCTTAGACCAGATGCTTCTTCAGGTTTGAACCAACTGCGATTAAACTGTGGAATATACAAGTCCAATGTCAAACATCTTAGTCAGTCTTAAAAGCTCAAAGAAACAGCATGGCAAGAACTGAACAAGTACAGAAAGTAGGTGGCAGCACTAACCATGCCAAGTTTATCGGTTGTGAACCTTGCTGGTGCCTCTTTTATAAATTGTTCAATATAATAAAGCATGAAGATGCCACAGTCGTACGCATTATTCTGCTGCGGAACCTACCAGTTGTTAAAACCATGTTATATTGATTTACCAGTAAACTGTACCAAGTAATCGCAATCTCAACAAATATTTAACGCAAACATCTGGAAACCTATATACCAAGGGGAACTGATGGAAGCACTTTATAGTGTTACTTTGCAAAATTGTTAAAATGTACCTGGACAGTTTCCTTGCGTATATCAGTTAGAAGACACGGCCAAGCTGGCTCTGCAACGGATAAGAAGCGTCATTCCTTTTCAAGGTACCTGCAACATGTAGTTGATGCTGTCAGTGTTGTGCAGAGTACAGTAGGTCACTTACACTAAAACTCAGCAGCAAGCAAGTCTGCCATATTTCAGAATTTCTTGTTTCTGAATAACAAGAGTGAAAAATAGCTAAAATCTAGCTGGTTAACTATAGCTGAGATTGTTACTTGCCTCCCAACTGTGTTCAAGATCTTATTACTGCGATGCATCCCTAGGGAGTCCAGATGAAGTATGGTTGGTTCTGAAATTTCCTCTTTTGGAGGAAGGCAAATGATTACCAAGCTCCAGTGCTCCCTGGTTTATAATGCAAATAGGAAAGTCTCCATAAAATATACTATATAAAAAGGTACAGCATGAAAAAACATGATTGTAGGTTTCAAAATTCAGCATATGCTAAAAGGCAACATTTCAGGTGACAATAAAAAAGGTTTAACAGCAATAAGGAGAACATTAGGTACCTCTGAGCCACATTCCTAATATGATAGAATTTAAAATGGATCCACATGAACCATGAGGCTTGCTAACAAGCTAATAATGTCTTAAACTTATACAAGTGTGCCTTTGAGAACAAATTATATTAATAATTGTATTTTGGCTTCATAATGTAAATGTCTTATCCAGTATGAACTTACTTCGCATGGATAGGCAAGATGATGTATGCGTTATTGAATATATTGACACCTTTCCACCATCTTCTCAACTTTGGAAAGTCACGCTAGAACAAAATCCAATGGAAGAAATACATATAAGATAACGTGTTATGGTAATATAAAAAACATGATGAATAAACAAGTAGCACAGAATATAATGTCAACACATGAACACAAAAGAAATGAGAGAAGAAAACCGGGAGGAATTTTTATTAGAAAAATAAGATGATCAAATTTTGTGAAGGACTGGTGGGAAAATAGTGCAAATGAGCTATATTAAAATGCAGTTGAATAAAACTCAAGGATGTGTTTAGTTGCCTTCTTAAACCTGCATTGTATATCCTGAATGAGTGGAAGCATGATGAGTAGATGCAATGAATGAACCAAAAAGAAGTGTGTCCGATTGCATGGGCGGATGCAGTGACCTTGTATACATGGATGCAATGACCTTGTAAAGATGTTTGGTAGTTTGTATGAGCGGGTGCAGTGGCCACTCCACCTGATACTGACATGTGGGCATATAGCAAATGCAATGCATCCACCGAGCCTGCATGAGAGAAGCTAAATTTGGGGCTTGCACTAATATGAGATGATGGTGTATTTCTGCATCCACCCGTACGGGCAACCGAACGCCCTTTTCTATAAGATGATACGCATCTACCCGTGCAGGATGACCTTCATGTGAGGAACCAAACACATCCCAAAATGTGCACCCAACCAATAAACAGTCTAGGTCACAAGGGGCACAAGAAAAAAATGGCAATTCCTCACTCAAAAAGAAAATAATTGGTTAATTGAAGTTTCACACTCAAGAAGGTGGCTTGGCACAGTGGCTGAGTCTCTCTACTTGTGGCTTGGAGGTCCTAGGTTTTCGAACCAGCCTCCTTGCAGAATAAGAAAGGGTAAGGCTATCCAGAAATTCCCTTTACTTGTGACTTGGAGGTCCTAGGTTCGAACCAGCCTCCTTGTAGAAAAAGAAAGGGTAAGGCTGTCTAGAAATTTATTTCTGCAGATCTCGCCTTGTACGGGAGCTTTCAGAACTGGGTACACCATTTTTTAATTGTGCTCCCACACAAGAAAAGAAGAAAAAATCCCTTCCACAGACCCTGCCTTGTATGTGAGCTTTCAGAACTGGGTATGCAAACTTTTGAATTTTAGTCCCACCCAAGGAAAGAAGGATCTACCTCATAGCCACTAGCGAGGAAGAATATAAACTGCGTACTCGACAGTGTTGATCCTATCTCCTTCCAATAATGGTGGTGCGCTGCGGCACAATCAACGAATGAACCCTAGTTGAAAGGTTTTAACTCGCAGGCCATTTTGGTTGTGGCTTCTTTTGAAACACTAAAACAAGTGTGTGTTTGAGTCTAAGTACAGTTGTGGTCTGTGGGATCCGTGAAGAAGGTCTAGTCAGGTTCTCGGCAGGAGCTTCCGGTTTGAGCTCTATCATGCCACACATATCTTTTGTTTGGATAGCATTTCTCTCAGACGTGTCGCATATGCAAGTTTAACTATTTGAGTTGGTGTGTGTGTGTCCGTTTTTCCTTCTTTGTATTTGGGTACTAATGATTCATTCCTTCTTAACAAGGGGATGAGCAGCTCTCTTGACAATTTGGAGAAAAAATAACATAAACTTATTACAAGGCGCTCATGTATTACGTACCCAGAATAGTATAATTATCCCAATTTTGAACAAAGACATAATGCAAGACATTTGGTAAGAGAAGTATGACTTCATCACAAAAAAAGATCATACCCGCTGAAACAATGCTTTTTCAAGCTTTCCAAAAAAATACATGTTCAATATGTAGAATTTGTCTCTGAAATTTTCATTACACAATCTGGTCCTTTCGATGTACCTGCACAGCAAAATCACAGAAAGAATACAGAGTGCGGTCTTAATACCTCCTAGGAAATAGCATAGCTCAGAGTTCACATAATACTACTTTACAAATTCTTCAGCTAAATAGCCCACAGTGAATAGTTTGGTGGTGTATAAGACAATACAATGTGAAACAACAGTAGAAGACCAAGCATTAAATTTCTTAAAAAAATAGCAAGCATTAACACCTAAATACTCCCATGGTAACCCTTTCATCGATTACTTCTTATTTGTTTGAAATATAAGCGATACACTGAAGCAATTTGAGGAAAAAAATCAAAATATAAAGTTACCACTTACTTGATGTAGAAGTTTATCATGTGTGAAGACAAAAATACTTCAGGATCAAGACATTTAATATCATATCTGGTGAGCACGACAGCTTCTCGATCATCTCTGTTCACATAATAAAGTCAATGGAAGGTAAAATGAACATCGACCATGAATTCATGATCTTCGGAGAAAAATACACAATATTCACCTTGATGGGTAGTAGATCTTTGGTTCATTCCTGAAAACACAATTGGTTGAGTTGAAACATAAACTAAAAGGTAAGCTAATATTGTACATGATGAATACAACACTAGAGAGGAGCTTACAGTCTGTCAGACATCTCACAGTTTACTTCTTCCTTCGGTTCCATATCTTCATCATCCAATAGAACCACATCTTGAACCTTAAAGGCCACTCATACAAATAAATGTATAAGTTCAAAATTACATGTAAAAGTGGTAACAGGATCAAACTACTATGAGAAAGCATGGTAGAGCGCCCAATAAACGGACTGGCTCTTGACAAAGTGACATATATATGACAGTCAAACTTATTATAAACAAATAATACCATGGTAAGTTATCAATGGAAAGTATAGCGGTATCTATTAAAGAGGATAATAACCACCCAACCTTTCTGAACACAAGATTTAGTGCAAAATACAAAACTTTGTAACCTCATGTTAACAAAGAGAGTTTATTTTTCTCAACCTTACCCATCCTTGCTAGTGAGCAATCATTAATGCAACCAAGCCATCAGTAATGCAAAGAAATGTCCTTGATGGTAAAAACGAATTCACTACAATCTCTACTGTTCTTATGACCACTGAAGTCAAACATGATATGCTCATTACACATTGCACACAATAGGATTACACTGAAATGCAACATAATATAATTTTCACATTTAGCAGTTAATCCAGAAATGAGGATCGTGTGACTTTAGCATTCAGGCAACAGGAAAACATGGATGATTAGTTACGGAACAAGAAATTAATGATTATTCACAAAGTACACTTCTTTGTATAGCTTAGTGAAAGAAGATAGGGAGAATAAATTCTCTATTGTTGTAGGTTGTACTTGTACAACAATGAGTGTATATGCAAGGAAAGAATCAAAACCTCTAATCTAGCCTAATTAATATAGGCTATAAAAGTTCATGCAGATATGATCTGCTATTAGAGCTAGTAATGACTGAGATTGGAAGATAGTAATGGCTAGGATAATGACATTATAATAGCCCTCTGTGGTGTCAACCGGGGGTAGAGTGGACGTTAAGACTGGGGCAAACTTCCTTGAAGATCAAGTCGAAAACCCTTTGGTGAAGATGTACACATATTGGGGAGTCTGGGAATGTGAAGGACACGAACATCTCCAAGAAAGACGCGTTCACGGACAAAATGAATCTCCACATGTTTAGTCCTCTAATGTTGTGCTGGATCTGTGGAGAGGTAATCTACACTTTTGTTGTCACTGTAGACAACAATAGTTTTCTGTAGAGGACGACGGAGCTCAGCGAGCAGCTGGCAGAACCAACAAACTTCAATGACAAGGCTTGTGATTGGAGCGAGGCACGGTATGTTGTCATTTGGAAGACCAAGAAATGAGGTTGTCACCAACAAAAACTCAATAACCAGATGTGGATTGCTGTGTATCTAGGCAGCTCGCCCAATCAACATCGGAGTACACTGTGAGGGTGTTGATAGAGTTGTGAGAGAGCTGAAGATGATGGGCTAAAGTGCCTTTCACGTACCACAGTATGCTCCTGAGGACAGTGCATATGCAACCACGCTTGCTGCATAGCATGTGTGATAATGTCAGGGTGAGTGAGAGTGAGGTACCGTAGGGTTCTCGCAAGGCTCCTATAGGGGCTTGGATCAGCAACAGGTCTTCCTCCTTTGGCTGTAAGCTTGGAGGTGGATTTAATGGCGGTGGACCTAGGGTTGCAGTTTGTCATCTTGGCGTGTTCCTGAATTTCAGCAGCATATTTCTCTTGGGAGCAATGATGGAAAGAAAGTAATGGAATGGACCAAGGTCTGTCATTGCAAACTCTTGCTGGAGAGAGTTGATGACTCGACAAAGATGAGTTGTAGTGGAAGAATTGAGGTTGATGTCATCAACATAGAGGAGCAAGTATGCCGTCTTGCACCCTTGGTTGAAGCTGAACAGTGAGGGGTCACACTTGGAGACATTGAAACCGATGGAGACTGATCTAGGCACGGGGAGCCCGTTTGAGACCGTCAAAGGACTTGTTGAGGCAGTAGACATGATGGGGATTGGCAGGGTCAATGAAGCCAAAGGTGGCTGACAATACACCATTTCTTGAAGGACGCCATTGAGAAAGGTGTTCTTTACATCGAGTTGGTGCAAGGTCAATAGCTGTTTTGATTGTCGCTGATTTGATGATGAGGTTGAAAGTCTCGTCGTAATCAACGCCAGGTTGCTATGAGAAACCACGCAAAACACCGTGTGCCTTGTACTGAGCCAAGGAGCCATCGGAGTTGTATGGGTTTTGGTATACCCATTTGCCAGAGATGAAGTTGGTGTTGGGAGGTGGGACAAGGTCCCATGTTTGGTTGGTTGTGAGAGCATTGAACTCCTCGACCATGGCAGCATACCAAAAGAGATCAGCGAGCGCACCATGGTATTTTTTTCAACATTGGAGAGAGAGTGGGTCGATGATGGAGGCACTATAGGTGAGGCAGTCCTTGGGAACGCGAATGCCCCCTTGGCATAGGTCAGTGGCGAAGCTACGTTGTAGCTTGTTGGTGCGTATGCACCCACAAAAATTTGAAAAACCAATAATAGGATCAAACTTTCACCATGTTTGCAGCTTAAATTTTCACACCTATAAGAGAAGCGCACCACCCTCTAATTTGCTCTAGCTTCGCCACTAGCATAGGTGGACATTGGGTGTGAGTTTTGGATAGGCTTGACATTGCTATGTGGGCACCGATAGGCCATTGTGACTCCCACGCGCTTGTTTTGGGGTCTCAAAGTAGGCCTTGGTGCAGGGGAGACAACTGTCGTCGGTACGATAGCAGGAGCCATGTGTGGCAAAGAAGGCGTGTGTGCAAGGACTGTGCGTGGCATACGGGGTGTTCCTAGCGTGGAAGAAGCGATGGGCGAAGGGTAGGAATGTGTTGAACAAGACTGGACGGATGCAGTTGTGTGGCTATCGGCTGATTGTAGCGGCGCCTCATAAAATAGAGACGTGTTTGGAACACGTAGCACAATGATTCCACCATGATGGGCCCTTTGTGCGGGCATTGGAGCCAAGACAAAGGGCATGATGCAGCAATCATCCTCCTCCAAGAATGTTTAGGAAGAAGAGTATAGTGCGGATCGATCCGCATATGAAAACATGATTCATCAAAAAAAACGTGTCATGATATAATCACACAATTAGTAGACAAATCGAGGCAACAATATCCTTTGTGGTTTGTGGGGTATCCAAGAAGGATGCACTCTGTAGACCGAGGAGCAAGTTTATGGGGAATTGTGGAGGAAAGGTTAGGATAACATCGACATCCAAAAACCCGAAGGTGACCATATGATGGTGAAATTTAAGGTTTTTATGGGAGGCGATTAAGGATGTGTGTTGATGTAAGAAGTGCTTCAGCCCAAAACTTAGGAGGTAGGCATACTTCGAAAAGCAAAGCTTGGATGATGTTATTGGTAGTTCTAATGATGTGCTCGGCTTTACCATTTTGTTGCGATGTGTAGGGACAGGAGAAAAGCAGCTGGGTACCAAGGGTGAGGAAGAAATCTCGAGTGAATGCGTTGCCAAATTATTTTCCATTGTTGCATTGGATATAGGAGAATCGAGTATTTTGTGGTGTGTAGAGACATAGGCACTGAAATGTCAAATTTTTGTACAAGAGGGAAAGCCCACAGTGATGAATGTAATCATCTAAACAAACATGATAATACTTGTTGCTGGATATACTTTTAATTGGAGATGTCCATACATCACAGTGAACAATCTGGAAAGATTTATTTGTGTACGACAAAGAAGACTGAAACAGAAGCTTGGTATGCTTTCCTAATTTGCATGCATGACAAGTAGGAGTACCTGATCTATTGCACGAGATGGTGTTTGTGGTGGTGAGGTGTTGAAGAATAGAAGTTCCAACATGACCAAGGCGACGATGCCAGAGTGTGTTGTCGATGGATGGCATAATGAAGGCATGTGGCAGTGCTAGGGGGATAGGGTATAGTTTTCCAGAGCTATTGCAACAAAGCATCACTATCTTGGTTTGAAGATCCTTCACAGAGAGGCCAAAAGGGTATAATTTTTCTCAAACATGCAGGAGGATTGTGTATCATTTCATTAATAAGTAGAAAAAGAAGTCCAAATACATGGCAATTCCACGACTTGGGTTAGTTTTTTTACATTCGTGCCCTTTTAATTAGATAAAACAACATAGCTCTACTAATGTCCTAGAAGAGAGCCCAACTCCTTGGCTCCAACCATCACCCAGAGGTGACCTTGGTTGTGCACCTCATGCAACAGCATGCCTCTGAGGGTGAGATGTTCTCAAACATGCATCAATTCCGATGTTTCTAGATCATCCAAGCAATGAGGATGACTAATGTGTTTAGTTCCTTCCTCGCTACCTTGGGCGTCCTGTGTGTGCTTCATCGCCACCAAGATTGGAACTCATCGTCATCTTGTTAAGGCGTAAGGACATCAAGTCCCAGATGATGAAGCACAAAAAACCACACTTAGCATGAGAACACGCAAGATATCAAGACATGGTCAATAGTCTCACTCTCTTTGTCGCATAAAGGGCACCATGGAGGGTGAGGCAATCCACGGCGAGCCAGGTGTTCTATCGTCTAGCATCGCTTGTGTGCTGCCATCCAGAGAAAGAACTTGCACTTCAATGGTTCCCAAGTGTTCCAGATGCACTTGTGAGGCTCAAAAACAATAGCACCATTGAAGAATCGATGATAGCCGAACTTGGTGGTGAAAGGGGACCGTGACGCCTAAGAGGGGAGTGGGTGAATTAGGCAACTTAAAACTCTAACTCTAAACTATGGCCTCCATTTCTAACATTAGCAAAACCTATGCAAAAGATAAACTATCTAAATGTGCAACTACGGTTTTGCTAGTGTGTTGCTATCTCTACCGCAAAAGGAGTTAAGTAAACAATGTAAATGCGGAAGCTAAAGAGTAAGGTAGAGATATGAAAACTCCCGTCGATGACTCCGGTATTTTTACCGAGGTATCGAGAAGCACGCAAGCTTCCCCCTAGTCCTCATTGGAGCCCCTCGCAAGGGCCAAGCTCCCGGTCGGGTAACTCCGTGGATAGCCCCGGGCCTTCCCCACACGCAGGTGGGTCTCCGGTGTGCCTCTCCCGGACCGCTCCCCGTCGTCTTTACTATCAAGCTTCCGGCC